TTTCCTCCATTTTTTTTTTCTTTGGAAATCTGATATCTGAGTCAACCTTGATGCATTCTATGGCATTCACATGTATTCTGAAGTGTATCCCCCCTTTTCCAAAGGACTAATGGCAATGAGTGCTTGCTTGCAGTGCTTCTCGAGGCATTTCATATGAATAAACAACTGCTGCAGCTGTGATTGAGATGTATTTCTCATCATATTATGCTTATTAGTTACAGGAATAACATTGATCATTAGTAGTGGCCTATTATGTGATGAGGGCGCATCAGGGATGGTGTCGCCCGAGGCATGGGACGGACTTCATCTCGCTCCCTCTCTCGTGGTGACTGCCAACCTTGTCTCTTTGTAGTGACTGCCAGCTGTGCTGCAAACAGAGTTGCCAGCTAGTTACCAGAGAATACCAAAATAAATCGAAAAAAATCAAAAAAAAAAAAAAAAAAATTGTGGGTATATTTGCTCAGACGCGACAAAGTAAATATCGGAGCCGGAGGCGGATGGGGGGGGGGTCAGAGATTTAGCCATAACTCTTTTATTTTATCGTATTTAGCAAAAATACAATTACAAAAATAATCACAAAATCAAAGTTTTCTGGAGAGCATACAACACGTTTGAATGAGACCGTGTGGGTACAGTGAGAGAGCTATAGTTTACGACGCGCGCTACTCTCACTCCCTCCTGACAGCTTTGTTCGTATGTACCGAAATTCGTAACTCGGAAGTTCGCAAGTAGGGACCACCTGTATATAATATATGATGTATATAGTATATGGAATCTATAATGTATATAATAATTATAATATATGTAATCAATATATATATATACATATGTATATGTATAATATATGATATATATAAAATATGTATATATATAATATATAAATATAATATATATAATATATATATATATAATATATAATATATATATAATATATAATATATATAATATATATATAATATATAATATATATATATATAAATATATAATATATAATATATATAAATATATGTTATAATTATATAACATATATATAATAAATATCATATATCGTATAAACAATATATATAAAGGATGATATATATAATACAAAATATAAAGTATATAAATGATGTATATGATGTATGATATATATAATGTATGTGTTATATGATATACATAATGTATATGATATATGATATATATAATGTATATGGTATATTTGTAAAACATAATATGAATTATGATAATATATGCAATACATTATATTTATGTGTGTATATATATGATATATATCATATTTATGACATACATAAAATATGTATATACACACACACATCTTCAGTTTACAGTATACTCCAGACGACGATTTAAAATGTGTTTTGGTTAGTTTTAATAGGGATAAAAATCAGAAAATAATCCTGGTTTTTTGTTTTCTTGAATGATATTTGACAATGATATCCCATAGTCACCCTCTGACAAACCACGTTATTGGAATTTGTAGTAAATTCAGTTTTCAGTCAAATTTCCTAGAAATGGCAAACAAACTAATTATTGCATATTCAGATGCAATCATATGACGTTCCCAAAGCTTTCCCAAACCATCTAGTTCCCCAGGTCGTCCGTCAAATCCCAGACCCCCAAGATCATGTCCTAGGTATAAAATACTCCAAAAACCTGCCTTATCATTAAACCTTCAGGATAGTACAGTGGTAACGAATCCGCGCGCCCCGACCAGGTGAAAGTTGCAATTGTCGCCCTGAGGTAATTGCTACCACCTAACCTCTGTCGCACTAGCTGACACACGTTGATCAAGTCAACATTAGTTGGCACAGGCCGGGCGAAGCTCAGCTTCGCATATCGGACCTATCCTTATCTTTGTCTCATAACTTGATTTCTTTACAGTAAAAAGATCACAATGAAGTTCCTTGCAGTTTTCCTCCTGATGGCCTTCCTCGTGTTTGGGACTTGGGCTTCGTTCGGCCGATCCCGCTTCCTGTGCCTCTGCTCAAGGCAACCTCGCACTGGAAGATCAGCCCATATTTGTTTCTGCTGATCATTAACGCACACGCGCATTCATAAAAGTTTCAGCAATGTCACTACTAGGATCGATAAATAGGTTTGTTTAACCCTCTTTCTTGGAAAGAGGAAAAATGGCACGCTTTAAACAGTCTGGAGCGTCAGTAGGATTAATCTGGTTTACAACGATATATCTTTTTTGAGGAAGGATTATGATTCAATAGGTTGATATACTTCATCTGATTCTCAGGTCACGCTTTTTTTTTTTTTTTTTTTTTTTAATGCTCTTACATAACTATGATTCCAAGTGGTTTTAATAACTATTACCTTTTAGGTTTATTTTCTCTCAGTTACTTTTATTTAAGCAACTTAATATCAATGGATTTACTCTGGCATAGCTTACTTTACTTTATACAGAAGGGGTGAACAGTGTTTGGTCTCCTCTGGGTCTTCAGTACGTGGTCCTTTACGGTATAGTCAGGGGCATAAAAATGATGGTAATGATGATTTTGTGTTAGTTTTAAAGAGGGGAGGCAAACTAACAAAATTTGACACTAACAATAACAATAGTGGCAATGATGAGGATAACAATAATGTTTATAATAATAGCAGTAGTAATGATAATAATAACCATAATGATGAAAATGGTAACACTAGTTGTAATAATAATAATGATAATGTTGAAATGCAATAATAGAGATAAGAAAATAACAATCGAATGCAATTAATATTTAATATAATGATAATTATCATAATAATAATCTTAATGATAATAATGATAATACCTATGATAATAATAACAATAACAATGATAATACCTATGTCAGATAATAATGATAATAACAATGATATACCTATGATAATAATAACAATAACAATGATAATAATTAATAATAACAAGAATAACAAGAACATAATAATGATAATAATAATAACGTTAAAATCAACAAGAACAATGCCAACCATAATGATAACAAGGTCCAGCAGAGGACCCTCAAAGACCCCTATAAACACCCATGAACAGGATGTTGTTCGCCTCGTTATCTTTAATGTAGAAAACGAAGGGCCGGTTGCACGTGAACGTCGTCTTTGGAGGCATCTAGACTAGTCATACTGAGCACCGTCGCCGCTGCCGCCTCTGCGCCTTCTTCGTCCACCTCTATAAGGGCCTTGTGGATCGCTCCATTCACCATTAATCCTCGAACTTGTGTGAAGTCAGTCAGATCGGCGGTGGAGAAGAAAAGGTCACGGATTCCCATTTTCTTTAAAGTCTGGAGAAGGAAGGCGTGGATACGAGGCTATTTTTTAAATTTTGCGTCATGATTTCGCTACAAGAAGCAAAACAGTTTTTAATAGGTTATCAGTATTTCATTTCATTAAATAATCGTTTATTGCTCTCTCAGTTTAGATATAAATAAGTAGCAAGACTAAGTTTAATCTTTCAGGGATATCTATTACCAATATGTAACGATTTTGCAACCAGATGCGCAGAATCTTTACTGAAGTAATGGTATGATATGTAAGCTCGGAGTGTTTAAAACTCAAAACCCTTCGCGAGCCAATTTTCCCTTCAGCCACCATCTTGAGGTCCAACAGAGGTTTACATCTGGCTTCCCAGGATTACGTTTCTTAAACTGGTATTATGTGATTGAACGTTAAGTTTATTTTACCTATCACATTTTGAATGATCCTAATGGTAACACATTATATATGACTATTTTTTTCATGACGATCCAAACTTCACAGGCGTTGGGATCAGCCCAGTGGACACACTTAGCCCGCATACCATATATATATATATATATATATATATATATATATATATATATATATATATATATATATATATATATATATATATATATATATATATATATATATATATATATATATATATACACACATATATACATATATGGATGTATATGTATATACATATAAATAAATAAATAAGTAAATATATATATATACACTTATATATGAATATATACACATTCATATATACATATATATGCGTATGTATATATACATTCTAATATATATGTATATGTATCAGAATGACATGCGCTTTTTCATTCATTTCAGACAGAATAAAAAAAATAGGAATGTAAGTGATGAATGTAAAAGGTAAGTATTGGCTTAATCATTCAAAACGGCCGCCTGTAAGACTGAAACAGCAAATATCCCTCGGGCTGCTCTAGGCTGTACTGAGGAAAGTTTCCTGTTGGTACTTTATAATATATATATATATATATATATATATATATATATATATATATATATATATATATATATATGTATATGTATATATATATATATATATATATATATATATATATATATATATATATATATATATATATATATATATATATATATATATATATATATATATATATATATAGTTTGTGATAGCAGATTATACCTCAATTTGTGAGTAAACTACGACCCTTTGCTTACCATTCCCAAACTACCAGGTTCGCTTACCTTGCCTAATTCAAACATACCGAAATGAGTTCATCCCGAGAGTACTCTCCACGCTGATCTTGGGAAACTTGACTATCAGCGGGACGGAGGGCATCGCCTTCAACTCAGACACGAGTCTCCTGGGCCTCAGGCGTCGGACCAGCCTGTCCACCTCCTTGGCTCTCCACTTCGCGGGAGGAGCACCACCATGGACACGGCGTCGCCCCTGTAGGGCATCTCCAGCACCTGGGCGGGCTTCTCCGAGTCCACTGGAACGGAGTTGGATATTTGAAGTTCGTTGATAACAGGTGATTCATTTTACGATTTCCTTGCATTGTAAGGTAACTTGTTCTGTGTTGGAATTAGGTACATGTTCCCATAAAGAGAAAGACACCTAATGAACACATAATTGATTTTGATTTGCGACAAATCGATACAAACGCAATGAAAATGGGGAAAAAATATGTAATAACGGAAACTGGACACAAGGAAAGGTAGGGAGGTTCATTTTGTATAAAGGAAGAACTCCCATACATTACCATATTTGAACCTTCCCGTTTGCGTCATCATATCCACTTGGACAGACTCTTCCGGGGTTACGAAAAACTTGTCCTTGTGGGTCCTTTGAGGCTTGAACGGGTATTTCCAAAAGCCTTTGAAGTAGACGGCGTTAGTTAAGAACATTTTAGCGTCTTTAACAAAGGAGGGTTCTATAAGCTTTGGTATTTTTCCTCGCGTTTCGGCGTTGACGAAGGCATTGATGTCAGCAGCGGCGGCGTCGGGCTGATGGCAGATTCAGGTTTGATTATTTCGGTCTCTGGAGTTTAAAGATCCTTTAAAGAAATGTATCTGTTTTAAAAACTTGAAAGGATATTTTTCTTGTACAAGAGTCTCTTCTGTACGCGTCATATAAAGTTATGCTGCGTTCGGAACTGCTCGTCTTGCTCGTCCAGACACCTTGTCCAGGACCAGCAGGACAAGTGGGCCGCGTTCGGAACCTCCAAGACCCTTTCTGCCCAGAATGCAACCGGCTCCAATGTAAACATTTTTATTTATTTTTTTATTATTTTTTATTATTTATTATTTATTATTATTATTATTTTTCATACTGGTGTCTTTATTTTACACGCTGCATAGGTTTTGTAACTCCTTTGATGCATATTTAACTTACCTGCAACTGACAAACACAAAAATATCCTGATAACACCAATAAAGGGTTATAAAATTACCCACCAATATCTTGCGGTTACCTACAACTGTCAATGTTTACATACAAAATTACTGTGACGTCATCTCGTCCTGTTCGCCCAGTTCGCAGGAGGGCGAGTTGGACGAGCCAGAATACTTGTCCGGGACGAGATTGTGGAAGTTCCGAACGGTCAAAACATCTTGTCCAACTGGGCTGGACGAGATAGACGAGCAGTTCCGAACGCAGCATTAAATCCAGATTAAAGTTTCATCCAAATCCACAGTACTTTCATAGATGTAATACACAATACCAGACGCACGCGTCCATGCGATCATCAGTAAATCTGTTCTTTTACAATTAAGAGCGGGCATTTGTGTAGTCGAAATTAGCAAACTCTTTGAGTTTCATATCGCACGCTAATGCTGTTACCGAGACGTTTGCTAAAAAAAAAAAAAAAAAAAAATACACACACACACACACACACACACACACACACACACACACACATATATATATATATATATATATATATATATATATATATATAGGCAGTCTTATAGCATAAGGATGTGCATTTGTGTTACGAACTAATCCAAATAAAGGACTTCAAATGCTCTTTTTATAGGCAACAGAACTGTAGCTGTTAAACAAAAGTTACATCAGTTTATTTCTGCGGAGAGTTTTCTCCGAGAGTTTTTTCGTGTTTTGTTGCTGTCGAGGAATATGATAACAAATCCCACGTAGTTTTGAAGGCATTGTAATAAAGATTCAGAAAGTTTGTACTTTAAATCTGAAACCTAATCGTGATGTTATTGAAACTCTGGAATTATTTGTGGGATTTCCTTTCGTTTTTTTTTTTTTCGAGAGTTATTTCTGCAGTTTAAGTATCCCACGACTTATGAAAATATATGTTGATAAAAGTTTATACACATCTTTAGCATGAAAATGCCAGAATTAGTTTCATTATTCGCAATAATAAACATTTATGGCAACTCGACTTCATCCTTTTTACCTGAATGGTGCGACTAACTAGCTCATTTTGAGCATGGCAGGATTAAAGTACGAGCTCAAAAGTGAATGCTGGTCCAGAGATGAAATAAAAGTTGATAATGGACGCTGCCATTGCGCATGCGCACTAGAGATCTGGATTAAACTTTAATTCTGGATTAACTTTTATGGCACGTACAGAAGACGCCCTAAAGCACTGAAGAAGTTGGTTCATTCTACATACATTAAATGATCACCACAGAAGGCTTTTCTCTGTTACTCAAGATCAAAGTAAGTCTGCTGAACAGATCTGCCCTCTTGTACGGAAGGCTTTCACACTGCGCCCGAGGTTTAAGCTATAAGGTTTGAAATGCTTCACTTTGTTTAAGGCTTAAAAGGTTTTATCACTGTGCCTCGGCTCATATTTCTGTCTTCTCGTACTAGACCAAGATTGCCAGAAAACTCCCTTAACCACTTGATGGAAACGTATCACAAATTGAAATACAATGTCAGGTTACAGAGATTGGTATGTATATACGAAGTGATAATGCAGTGATTTAATGCAAATGTATGTGTAGATTACCCTCTTTTTGCAGAGACATAATCAAAACATTAGACCATAACTTATAAGCTGTGCTTTTATATAAAGAATGATGTTCGTATCCTCACTGAGCCATGAATCTGTAACTATATGAGTTCTGATATCCCTATTTTGGATATGCAATGATGTTACTAGTGATGAAGACTACCCACATCTAGTAGGCAGGAAAATAAAGCTGTAAGCCAAGTGTTTCTTACCCTATTAAAGTCTATTAACTTCACTTTGTCGTCGAGGACTTTTCCCACGCATTCTCGAACGGGAATGGACTGGTCGAAGTATATCCTGTTAGCCGAGTTGATGGTGTAGTTCTGGTTTGCTTCTTGGGAGTCATAGCTGCAGTCGTGTTATTTTAGTAGAAATTATTATCTGATAATGTTTACTTGCATTATAAAATCATGATCCTTTTGTTATCATCAAGGTATTCGTGTCCATTTCTCTCTCTCTCTCTCTCTCTCTCTCTCTCTCTCTCTCTCTCTCTCTCTATATATATATATATATATATATATATATATATATATATATATATATATATATATATATGTATATATATATATATATATATATATATATATATATATATATATACATGTATATACTTTTATATACATATACACGAAAATGAATAAACAACAATATGAATTTAAAAAAAATCTTTTTGTTGTTCTTTATAATTTTTGTATACACGTTACTGTGTTAATGTTTTACACAAACACACACAGAATCACACACACACACACACACACACACATATATATATATATATATATATATATATATATATATATATATATATATATATATATAATCTACCTACCACCTCTCTTAACGGTTCACTCGGTAGGTTTAATCGCGTCAACCCACTCACCGCCGTTCGAGGGCCCTGAACAGGGCGAGCGTGTCCTCCCTGTTGGTGAGCCGCAGAACCTGCTCCAGCTCCGCCTTCGTGTTGCCTCGGGAGCCGAAGTAGGCGAGGACGAGGGCGCTCCAGACGCTGAAGGGCGAGATGAAGAAGTTCCCCGACGGAGGGAGAGCCTTCTTGAGTAAGTCGAGGCTGAAGGTGGTCGTCTGCCTGAGAATCGGGAGCCGCGGGGGCGGCGAGGTGTCGGAGGAGGAGAGGCACTGACAGCTGGCCCGCGACAGGAGGGCGAGGGCGGGGAGCAGCACGCACACTCTCATGGTTCTGAAAGGTCATGCACACACTGGTATTTGAATATAGAAAACACACACGCACATATATATATCTTAGTCAAAATATTATGTATTTCTAACTATAGACAAAAGCGAGCCAGATACATTAGCACTATTAAGATATCTGGTCTTATTATTTTGTCGCAATGAACACGGTTTAGAAATAAGCGACTCAGACACGGGTTGCAGTATACACAAAACTATAGGGTGCACAGGAAACATATAACCGATATTGCATGTTCGCCTAACTGATAGATTGCAAATAGACCTTATGAGGTGGGAGGCAAAATGCTGAGAAGTACGGCGCAAAATCTTCATATAAAACAGAAAACACCAACGATGGTCTGTGGTGAGACTTTAACAAGCTAGAGATTACTGAGTTAGCGAGGCTTTTCCTGTGAATATTTTACTACTCCTCTACATCTGGTTTATTCATAATTCCATCAAGCACATAATAATGATACACTGAACTTACACAAACCGTAGTTTATTGTCTTTTATGCTCTATGTTTGGTGCCACGTCCGTCTGTGTAAGTGTATATTTGTTACAAAACTAAGATATAATTAACACACTACACTTAAAAGCCTGTACTTGAATTTGGTCACAAAGCGATACATGTTTTGGGGATAATTTCATTCCCATGTTCAGAATTTTTAACATCATCATATAAAAGAACAAGTCTAATCGTACAGGGTGTCTTATACTTACTGTCAATGAATGGTTAGTGTTATGCTCATATGTTGACCACTTTCATTATGTTATCATATCTTGAAATTTTGTGTGTGATACACGTTACTTATGTCCGGTTAAAATTGAGCGAGGCCTGATCCAATGAATATTACATAAAGACATGTAAATAAATGATAGATATACATTTATATATCTATCTATCCAACAGATATGCATTTATGTCTATATATATCCATATCCGTATTATGAATAATAAGGTCGGGCTTCGAACAATTTTAACAACCGGGCCGATAATATATGTCAGCATACAAATTATACATAATAATAATAAATAAATAAATAAATAATAAAACGGTACACAGTTCTCACCAGGAGAGTCTCGACACCAGCACCAACACAGCGACCTTAAGTGACAGACGAGCGCGAGAAGTCTTTCTCACGCAACGCACTTTCACCTACTACTGAGAGGCGGCTGGGACTCACGATTATATACATCGCAGAGAGACCGCGAGAGCCGACATTTCGTCTGTTGATTGTGTCTAAATCTCTGCATTTGTGTGGTCTTGCCAGTTCGTATAATCATAATATAAATAATATGCAAAAGTCTGCTAATAAGCACATAAGACAACATTCTGCCAAATATATGTATTATTGTTTTCGTGTTTGGACTGCAATGGGAACAAGTCATGCATTGTAGAATAAACATATAACATGCCAGCACATACCCTTGATTTTGCAATGACTGAGACTGAAGTAAAATCACGGAATAATTGATGTTCTCAAAACCAAAACACAGCGTTACTTTAATTGTAATTAAAACGGGGAACGAATACTGCAAATTTGGGTTACGTTTACATTGCAATGATGCTATCTGCCATAACAGCAAATGCAGCGAGAAACGTGATTTGAAATTATAAACCATGTTTCGCTCTCTCTCTCTATCTCTCTCTCTCTGCCATTCACTGTCACTCAGTCACTCAATCTCTATCTATCTATCTCTATCTCTCTCACACATACACACACTTTCTCTCTCACACACACACTCACTCTCTCTCTCTCTCACAATTGCAACTTCTCGCACATGGGCGGGGCGTGAGCCGCGCGGAGCCGGAGCGAGTTCTGCGGCTCACCGACAAAGAGGACACGCTCGCCCTGTTCAGGGCACTCGAACGGCGGTGAGTGGGTTGACGCGACTAAACCTACCGAGTGAACCGTTAAGAGAGGTGGTAGGTAGATGGATATATATATATATATATATATATATATATATATGTGTTGTGTGTGTGTGTGTGTGTGTGTGTGTGTGTGTGTGTGTGTGTGTGTGTGTGTGTGAACACAAACACAGAAACGTGTACACAAAAATTATGAAGAACAAAAAAAACATTTCATATTATTGCTTTCTTCATTTTCATATATATGTATATAAAAATATACTGTGTATATATACATATGTATATATATATATATATATATATATATATATATATATATATATATATATGAGAGAGAGAGAGAGAGAGAGAGAGAGAGAGAGAGAGAGAGAGAGAGAGAGAGATGGACATGAATAAAACCTTGATGATAAAAAAGGATCATGATTTTATAATGCAAGTAATAACATTATCAAATAATAATTTCTACTAAAATAACTAACACAACTGCAGTTAAGGCTCCCAAGAAGCAAACCAGAACTACACCATCAACTCGGCTAACAGGATATACTTCGACCAGTCTTTTCCCGTCCGAAATGCGTGGGAAAAGTCCTCGACGACAAAGTGAAGTTCACAGACTTTAATAGGTAAGAAACACTTGGCTTACAGCTTTATTTTCCTGCCTACTAGATGTGGGGAGTCTTCATCACTTGTAACATCGCAGCATATCCAAAATAGGGATATCAGAACTCATGTACTTACAGATTCATGGCTCAGTGAGGATACGAACATCATTCTTTATATAAAAGCACAGCTTATAAGTTATGGTCTAATGTTTTGATTATGTCTCTGCAAAAAGAGGGTAATCTACACATACATTTGTATTAAATCACTGCATTATCACTTCGTATATACATACACATCTCTCTAACCTGACATTGCATTTCAATTTGTGATACGTTTCCATCTTGTGGTTAAGGGAGTTTTCTGGCAATCTTTCTGGAGCCGAGGCACAGTGATAAAACCTTTTAAGCCTTAAACAAAGTGAAGCATTTCAAACCTTATAGCTTAAACCTCGGGCGCAGTGTGAAAGCCTTCCGTACAAGAGGGCAGATCTGTTCAGCAGACTTACGTTGATCTTGAATAACAGAGAAAAGCCTTCTGTGGTGATCATTTCATGTATGTAGAATGAACTAACTTCTTCAGTGCTTTAGGGCGTCGTCTGTACGTGCCATAAGAGTTAATCCAGAATTCAAGTTTAATCCAGATCTCTAGTGCGCATGCGCAATGGCAGCGTCCATTATCAACTTTTATTTCATCTCTGGACCAGCATTTACTTTTGAGCTCGTAATTTAATCCTGACATACTCAGAATGAGCTAGTTAGTCCAACCAATCAGGTATTGATACATAATGACGTCATGCATGTTTATTATTGCGAATAATGAAACATTCTGGCATTTTCACGCTAAAGATGTGTATGAACTTTTATCAACATATTTAACTGCAGAAATAACTCAACATTAATAATAATGATAATAAAAAACGAAAGGAAATCCCACAGATACAAAAAGGCAATGTTTTATCCAGGTTGGAAAAACAACCCCAACGTATATATCATATCAGCAGACTTAAAAAAGAAAGCTTTCAATAACATCACGATTAGGTTTCAAATTCAAGTACAAACTTTCTGAATATTTTTAACTGCATGGAAATTTTGTTGTCATATTCCTCGATAGCAACAAAAAACACTTCCCTACCCCGTGCCCCACGATCACTCACACGAAAAAGCTCTCGGAGAAAACTTTCCCGCGAAAATAAACTGATGTATCCTTTGTTTGACACCTACAGTTCTGATTCCTATAGAATTCAAAAAGCATCTGAAGCCATTTATATAGATTTATTTGTAGTAACACAAATGCACATCGTCATGTTATAAGACTACCGTATATGTGTAAATATTTATATATTTTTTATTTGTAGCAAACGTCTCGTTAACAGCTTTAGCGTGTGATATGAGACAAAGAGTTTGCTAATTTCGACCACAAATACCCGCTCTTAATTGTAAAAGAGCAGATTTACTGATAATCGCATGGACGCGTGCGTCTGGTAGTGTGTACTACACCTGTGAAAGTACTGTGGATTTGGATGAAAACTTAATCTGGATTTTACTTTTATGACGCATACAGAAGACGCCCTTGGACAGAAAAAAACTCCTTTTATATTTTAACACAGATACATTTCTTTAAAGGCTCTTTAAACTCCAGAGACCGAAATAATCAAACCTGAATCTGCCATCAGCCCGACACCGCCGCTGCTTACATCAATGCCTTCTTCAGCGCCGAAACGCGAGGAAAAATACCAAACATTATACAACCCTCCTTTCTTGGAGGCGCTAAAATGGTCTTAACTAACGCCGTCTACTTCAAAGGCATTTGGAAATACCCGTTCAAGTCTCAAAGTACCCACAAGGAGTTTTCGTATCCCCGAAACAGTCTGTCGAAGTGCATATGATGTCGCAAACGGGAAATTTCAAATATGGTAATGTATGGGAGTTCTTCCTTTATAGAAAATGAACCCTACCTTTCTTTGTGTCCAGAGTGTCCCTTGTTACATAATTTTTTCCATTTTCATTGCGTTTGTATCGATTTGTCGCAAATCAAAATCAGTTATGTGTACATTAGGTGTCTCTCTTTATGGCAACATGTACACAATTCCATCACAGACCAAGTTACCTTACAATATAAGGAAATCGTAAAATGAATCACCTGTTATTATCACGAACTTGAAATATGTCCAACTCCGTTTCAGTGGACTCGAAGAAGTTTCGCGCCCAGGGCTGGAGATGCCCTTCAGGGGCGACAGCGCGTCCATGGTGGTGCTCCTCCCGCGATGTGGAAGGGGATCCAAGACGGTTGAATGGCTGGTCCGACGCCTGAAGCCCAAGAGACTCGCTTTGAGTTAAAGGCGATGCGCTTCGTCCCGCTGACTGTGAAGTTTCCAAAATTCAGCGTGGAGACTACTCTCAACGATGAACTCATTTCGGTATGTTTGAATTAGGGCAAGGTAAGCGAACCTGGGAGTTTGGGAATGGTAAGCAAAGGGTCGTATTTTACTGAATAAGGTTAGCAAAGACTGGTATTTTAGTGAATAAGGCTAGTTAAGTCTGGTATTTCAGTGATTAAAGAATGGAATGACATATTCTAGCAAACAAATAGATAAAGGATAGAAACAGATGAAAAAAAATGATGAATAGTAGATATTTCATATTAAATGTAATTGAATATTATTGGATTGCTGTTGAACTCACAGTATGTATATATATATATATATATATATATATATATATATATATATATATATATATATATATATAATACCAACAGGGAACTTTCCTCAGTAGCGAAATCGTGACGCAAAACACCTATTAAAAATAGCATCGTATCCACACCTTCCTTCTCCAGACTTTGAAGAAAATGAGAATGCGTAAACTTTTCTCCTCCACCGCCGATCTGACCAACTTTGCACCTGACGGAGGATTACTGGTGAATGGAGCGATCCACAAGGCCCTTATTCAGGTGGACGAAGGCGTACAGACGGCAGCGGCGACGGCGTCCGTTCTGAAAGACGTAACGGTCAACCGGCCCTTCGTTTTCTACATTAAAGATAACGAGTCGAACAACATCCTGTCCATGGTTGTTTATAGGGGTCCTTGAGGGTCCTCTGCTGGACCTTGTTATCATTATGGTTGGCATTGTTCCTCTTGATTTTACCATTATTATTATTATCATTATTATTATTTTATTGTTTTTTTTTTTAGTTATTGTCATTATTATTATTATTTTATTGTTTTCTATTGTTATTGTTATTATTATCATAGGTATTATCATTGTTAGTATCATTAAGATTATCATAATTATCATTATATTAAACATGAATTGCATTCGATTGTTATTTTGTTATCCTATTTTTGCATTTCAACATTATCATTATTATTATTATTACTATTGTTACCATTTTTATTATTATGGTTATTATTATCATTACTACTGCTATTATTTTTAACATTATCATTATCATCGTTATTGCTACTGTTATTGTTAGTGCCAAATTTTGTTAGTTTGTCTCCCCTCTTTAAAACTAACACAAAATCATTATCATTACCTTCATTTGTAAAGGACCACGTACTGAAGACCCAGAGGAGACCAAACACTGTTCACACCCCTTCTGTATAAAGGAAAGTGAGCTATGCCAGAGTAAATCCATTGATGTTAAGGTGCTTAGATGAAAGTACTTGAAAGAAAATGAACCCTAAGAGGTAATAGTTATTAAAACCACTTGGAATCATAATTATGTAGAGAGCATAAAAAAAAAAAAAAAAAAAAACGTGAACTGAGAATCAGATGAAGTATATCAACCCATTAAATCATAATCCTTCCTCACAAAAGGTATATCATTGTAAACCAGATTAATCCTACTGACGCTCCAGGCTTTTTAAAGCGTGAAAAGAAACAAGTGAAAAACATGAGCTAAGCTGCAATACAGACTTTTTAACACCAGATTCATCTTCCTGTAACTAAAATTTCAGCAGTACTTTTCGCACATTGATGTCAGTGTTCTGATAGAGGAGTAAAAGCTTTTTGAAATATTTTCTTTGTAATCCACTTATCAATAAAGCTGCCATTCTTCCTCTTTCCAAGAAAGAGGTTTAAACAAACCTATTTGTCGATCCTAGTAGTGACGTTGCTGAAACTGTTATGAATGTGCAAGTGTGCGTCCATAATTAGCAGAAACAAATATCGGCTGATCTCCCAGCGCGAGGTTGGCGTCCAGTCCCTCGAGCAGAGGCACTGGAAGCGGGATCGGCAAAACGAAGCCCAAAGTCCCAGACACGAGGAAGGTCATTAGGAGGAAAACAGCAAGGAACTTCATTGTGATCTTTTTACTGCAAAGAAATCGAGTGATGAGGCAAGGATAAGGATAGGTCCGATATGCAAAGCTTAGCCTCGCCCGGCCTGTGCCGACTAATGATGACTCGATCAACGTGTGTCAGCTAGTGCAACAGAACTTAGTCCTTACCCACCATGGTGCCCAGCCACAGCAGTAAGCTTCGGGTGACAATTACAACTTCTCGCGCCTGGGCGGGGTGCGACCCGCCGACTCCTCGAATGAGAGGCCTCCACGTTACCACTGTACTAACTTGAAGGCTTTGAGAGGCAAGGATAAGGATAAGTCCGATATGCGAAGCTGAGCCTCGCCCAGGCTATGAGGGAAGGCCGGCCTGTGCCGACTAATGTCGACTCGATCAACGTGTGTCAACTAGTGCTGACGCGACAGAGCTTAGTCCTTACCCACCGTGGTGCCCAGCCACAGCAGTAACCTCCGGGCGACAATTGCAACTTCTCGCGCCTGGGCGGGGCGCGAACCGCCGACTCCTCGGGTGAGAGGCCGGCACGTTACCACTGTACTAACTGTGTTTTATAGATAAGAGGTGATCTTAGGGACTGGGGTTCGAAGAAAGAACTTTGGGAACGTGATAACTGTCCCTTT